ACACAAACTTTGGTTCATTTTAAAAAGCAAAACCAAGACATGATCCAGTCCTATGGTCTCGATTATATATGTACACTTTCAGGGCAGTTCCACGTTGCAAGGCTGAAAGAGGCAGCATAGAGAAAAATTCTATGCTGATAAAAATGCCCTTTTCTTGTTCTTTGGGATTTTTTTAAAAAAAAAAAAAAAACAACCCAAAAGTTACTTTAAGTCTTCTGGTTGAAGCACAAGGACAGAAACAATGGAACAGCTGATGCTTAAGAGCTGGTTTCCCCCCTCCTCTCATACAGATGCTTTCTCCCTTTTCAGCAAGGGATAAACCATCTCCAATTACTGGGGGCTAGCACGTTATTCAAGGATAAATGTGTGCAGGCTCTTGTCCCACAATAAAAGGAAAGCCATTCAAGTAGCTTATGGCTGATTCTCATTATACGAATGTTTTTAAAAGCTGTATTCTATCTTGATGTGAGATATGGCTTTCATTCCTCACTCAGCTATTCAGGAAAAAAACAGAAGCCTGTCTCCTTTATTTACACCTCCCAACAGCCGTGTCACTGGAACAGAGAGAAAGGAAGACACTCGCAGTGAATTTCACCAACAATTATTTAAAGCAACTGGAAATGCTCCCAAAAGTACAAGAAAAATGGGAAGCCTAATTTTCATTACTCGAAAAACTCCAATTTTTAATTCTCTTTTCGTACCTTGTTTCAAGTTTTCTTGAAAAATGGCAAAAATTCATACCGAAGATAGGTAACTTTATTCTTTTGAGATTTACAAAAGGCAACTGAACAACGACAACAAAAAGAGCACGTTACTTATTGATAAAAATTAACTTACATTCATTTACTCAGCAATCCTAAGTCTACTTCATGTTGGAGGTTTTGGGGGAGGGATGAGAGTTCACTGTGGTTCAGATTTGGGTACACACCACCAGGACACAACTGAAGGTTGGCACATAAAACCCACACAGCAAGCATCTGCCAACTGTGCAGACAACCATAAATCTGGCATTTCCCCATTTTCTAATTCTTTAACCTCACAATTCAAAGAGCACTGGGTGGGATCCAATTTGCCTAATTTGGCTGAAACTGTAAGCAGTTAGACCCAAGGGAATAATGCAGTCAACCCAGAATCACCGCCCAAATGCTCCACTTAATGAAAAACAGAGAAGACACCTCCAAAGACAAGTTACCCACCACCTTTGACACCTTCCAAACAGACAAGTAAAAAAGACAACTATTCCAGCATTACTCTGTTGATCAGAGCTCTCCACCCAGACGTAAAACGACATGTCTTGAACACACAACTCCTCCAGTCGAGAGGAATGGCCTAAGCATCAGCCTCTACCCCACTCGAGTCTCAAAGCTGAAGCACAGCCCGAAACACAGACGCGCCGCCGAACCGCACGGCACCAATATGGCCAATGCTGACGTTACGAAGAAGTTCCGTGGTTCCTCCCCTCACACACACTAATTTTAATCCCTTGTGTACAGATTGCAAACCAGGGGCACCCTTACGAAAAGTCTCATTAAGTGCTCTGCTTTTACACTCCCAATTAGAACGGCTTACGCCCGCTGCAGATGGCAGAACGACCGCCACTCATTACGGCTGCGCGGAAAGCTACCAACGGTGCTGGTCACTGGGTCTTGATTTGTTCAAAACTCTGAAAAATCAAGAATGCCCAAATCAAAGAGAGGTCACAGCAACCTTAAAGCAGTCAAAATTAAGGGGCAGAGGGTGAAGATTTCACATATGACATCCAAGCTAAGAAGACTGCAAAGCTGGCACCGATTTATACAGGGCAATGCACCCGCTGACGTGAATGGGAGCAGTCATGCATGGGCAGTGACCAGCCTGTGCCAGTTTTCAGTGGAACAGCCTGATAATTGTCAATAAACTGTGTCTGTTGACAGCAATTAAGGTAATGTTTTGTTATCTTTACAAATGTTCTGCGCTTTTCCGGAAGATGAAGATCACTTGAGGATCCAGCCTCAAACTTTCAGCTTGTTTTTCAACAATGCTGCTGCACTGCAATTATAATTCAAGAAGATAATTACATTTTTCTAAAATCCATGGACAATTCATGGGTGAGAGAGGTCACCATATTTCTTTTCCTTCTCTGTGAACTTTTTAATTTGATGTTCTACATTTTTAATAAGCCAGACAACATGTGTTTAGATGTTAGCAAGTTAGTAACAGATTCTCAGCCTCATCTTGAAAAAAAAAAAAAGATTTAGTCACGGGCAGCATCTGGTCCTCAAAATCTTTTTTTTCCCCATTTATAACATATGAGACAGCAAAGTATTCAACTTTTACATTTACAAAAGCCAACTTGATGTACAGAAGTGTTATTCTGTTGGATGTTTTTTAATTGTGTAACTGGGTCCTACGTTCATTTTCTCCAACAGTTATTTCTGCGCAGAAAACTTAAGATATCTATGTGCACGTGTAGGATTTACGTCCATTCTGTTGTTCTTGCCTATATAGAACATGATGTGTTTGACTGTGAGTTGTGGTTAGCAAAAGAGAATGTTAAAATGTTGCAGGAATGACAAGAGGAACAGAACATGAAAAATAGTTCTTCCTTGTTTTTCCAAATCCTCCTCTATTTAGGTCTGGTTTATGATGCAGCGTTACCGCTCAAATTCTTTTCGTAAGCCAGTGGAGTTGCCTTAACACTTTACCAGATAAAAGTAATTGCTCTAATTTATGTAAGAGGCCAAGTGAGACTTCTGGAGCAAAACAGAATCATGGACAGTGAATGACAGCTCTAAAAAGTTAGGCACCTGACCTCCATGACAATGGAGACCCAAATACCTTGCAGCACCCAGAAGCAAGACCAGTGACTTCTGAAGAACTGGATTTAGAAATACCTCACGATAAGATGGAGAAGAAAAAGGAAGAGGAACAATAGTGTGGCGTGCAGAGCAAGGAGATAAGAACCTCTGATTTTCATTTTATGACAGAGCTAGGATTCAGGGCATCATCAGGTACGCACAGCTGTCGCCTTTGCATATCAGTTCCTGCCAGCCTTTACAAACCTGCTTGCTCTTCTGAGCTATTTGTATCTGTTCCTAATGATTTTCACAAATTTAGTAAAAACATGTTTCACAGAAAATGCTAAAAAATATTCCTCTGGCAATTTAAATTCCTTACTTGAAAAAAGAAAGTTCTCTGAGGCACAAACGAAAGGATGCTGCAGCCTTCCCAGCTCTTGAATAGGTAAATGACGGAGTTCAGGACATTTTTTCAGAACTCATCACCCACTTAGGCATCATGGGAAACACAACTGTCCTATATTTAAAGCCAATATGAACTAAGTCACTTTCTGCTGAGGTTATATATAAGGAACATGATTTGTTTGCTTCTATAGGAAGCCCTGGCAGTAATAAAACGTTGCCAAAATGCAGATATTTTTAGGCTGAAACAAGCTTATCACAAGGATGAGTTAAACTCGAATGCTAAGTTCAGATAAGCACTGCATTAGAATTGTCTTCTGAGAAGTCAACTCCATCATATATCAATACAAGAATTTCATCACACATGAAAAAAGTTAAGTCATTTACTTCAGGCAGGGATGTGTGTCTGTACACTAAAGGACAGAAGACATCTAAAAAATGAGTCCGAGCATGTTAATTCCATATTCTGCTTTCAGCTGAAGTACTGGACAGACAGAGGATTATGTTTTCCTCTTTTTAGAAACTTAATAAGAAAATTTAATTAGAATTACTGTTTCCTGGTTCTTCATCTGCAAACGTGCCTGTTCACAAGGGCAGAACAGTGCCACGCTCTGGATCAGCTCCAGCTATATCCTAATTTAGGGGATGTTGCTCAAGAATTATGGTATGTACCAAGCAACCAACCTAACATGAGGATATTTCTGAACGTGACAGAGGCACAACAAAAAGAATGGCAGTGCATGGGAATAGTTTTCCTTGGTAGAAGCCTTTGGGGCTTGAGTAACATTATCAGCACTTCATATTGTTGGTCCTTTGACACAACAAAATGCATCAGGTAAAAAAAAAAAAATAAAAAAATTCTTATTTCAAGACTAAACTCCAGAGCTTTCATGGTGTAGTTTTTGAGCTCTCCCATTTCAGCAGACTTCACAAGCCCTCTCCTCCTGCCTCTCATTCTTACTGTATTCCATCTCTGTCATGACAATACTCCATAAAATGACTCTTTAAATAATCTAGATTAAAACTAATCCTCCATACAGTAGTATAAAGCATTGCTTACAACTATGACACAAACACATACGTGGTTCACAAACCTATCACCATTAGCAACACAACTCTTTGTTAAACACTAACAGTATTTCAGTGTATGAACACAGACATCGTTCCATCCAGACCCTGGAAAAGACCCACCTAACAAGTAGCCAACAAGTACGTTTAGGTTTTTATTCTCAGAGATGCATGGATTCTTAAAAAGTTAGAGGATACTATAACCGTTCTAGTCCAGACTCCTCTAATACCCCCATGAAGTTTAACTTTGAGCTTGCCAGTCTAAAAGCAGATTAAAATTATTTGAATGAACAAAATGAAGATTTAGGTGCTTAATTTACAAAACTTTTACTATTATATAGTTTTACTAATCAATAAGAGAATGAAATCGAGAAAATAACCTACAGTATAAGTGGAAAAAACATTCCATGGTTGTAGCGAAATTGCCCATTTATTTCTGCTTGCAAAAATAAAGAAATTCAGCAATTTAAGTGTGAAACAACAGTAAGAAGTCAACTGACCAACAGTAAATTTTAGCTGAGTTAAGAAGATGACTGCAGAATTACCTTGTCTTTGGAAAATATTCCTCACCATTTCTCAAGGAGAAAAATGCCATGGGCTTCATGCCCCTTCTGCTTTATATACGCAACTTTAAATTTTACCAACTTCTGTTTCTGCAGTAATATGTTATCCACATAAACAAATCCAGAATTTTCCAAATTCAGCAAAAATTCAGCAAATTCACAAAAGAAAAAGTAGTAGGACTGAACATACCTGCTGATAGAAAAAATTTAGAGTTGGTTTGTCCTCCGTGAACTGGTTTAGAAATCCTTTTGGCAAATATCGAATTCTCAATTCGTATCTAAAAAGCAAGAAAAAGAGAATTAAACTGATGAGAAAAATAATAATTGAGATTTGCTCACAAATAAAACATGTTTTCAAACATTCTTAAAAAGAAGGATAAGATCGAAACGAACTCAGAAAACTAAGGCAGAATTTCCTCTTTTGACTTCTCAAGAGAACCACAATGGAATGCAGCACCTGCCATCTCACAGTTACGAAGAATCATTCTACCAGAAGCAAACCTAAACCCCTGCTGCCTTCTCAAAGCTCCAGTGAGGACTGAAGCACCAAGACTTGGAGCAGATAAGCTGTCAGGTCCAGATCCATGGGAAGGGAGGCCTCAACCAGGTGAGGACAGCAGATGAGCTGCCAAACCACTGATGTGACCCCCTGGCAACAGCTTTTATCTCTGGTTACCACAAGCAGGGTGCTTAAAACACAGATCCCACCGCTCCAAGTAGGAGTGCTGATCAGTGTTACTCACCAGGGAGCCTCATCCTACAGATAAAACAAGGGCTTAGTCAAGGAAGATGGCTCTGCTCCTTCTCTGATCAAGAGCTGCAATATTCACCTCTGAATTGTTCCCAAGGTTTTGAAGGGATTTCTCTGTAAAGTAGTTTCCTACTTCCCTATTCTTCATCAAGATGTAGGCAAAAGCTGAATGAACCAGTGACAGTCATATTTGCCAAGTTAATAGTACACCACAGAGTGAGGGAGACTCAGAATGAGCCTTGATTCATGACCTCTGCCAAATCTGCATCCCTTCTCAAACCCTAAACTTCTGCTTCCAAACTCTGTATTCAGAGTTATTGCTCGTCCTGCGGTTACAGCCTATGAGGTCTGCCACATACTGCATGCTTCTTCCTCTGCCACGTTCCTGCAGTGAAATTCTGATAATAAATGTTCTCATCCCTTTGGGTATGCCAATAATATCATAAATATATAACTCTTTACAGCCCTTCCCCGAAATAAGTATATTGAACAACCTACTCATGATGGTAAAGGCTAATATTGCAGCATTTCAATCTGTTGGCTTCAGTAGGACAAGAACTTCTTTTCAGCAAGTGATTTGGCTGCCTGTGTTCAAGATTTATATGGAATTTGATAAAAAGTTACTAAGAGTTGCTGCTGCTGCTTAGGATTCCACCCCAAACAGAAGTTGCAGTATTCTTCTTTGCTTTGAAATAATTGGAAATACATTGTCCCATTAGAAATCATTAAAATAAGGAAAACATTTAGAAAGTGAAAACACAAAATATTTAGAAAGTGAAAACACATGCACACACTGTATATTTTTTAATTCTTTAAAATAGAATGCTTTTTCGTAGTGTTCCAAGTTTTTTTTCATAAAGGAAAATGCACACTTAAGTCTTGTGCACAGAAAATACATTCTTAAACTAAAAAGAATCTTCATTCTGTAAGATACACAAGAGAGGTGGAGGACATCTGAAAGAGGGTAGATTTAGATCAGACATAAGGAAGAAATTTTTCACTCAGAGGGTGGTGAGGCACTGGAACAGGTTGCCCAGAGAAGTTGTAGATGCCCCATCCCTGGAAGTGTTCAAGGCCAGGTTGGATGAGGCTTTGAGCAACATGGTGTAGTGGAGGGTGTCCCTGCCCATGGCAGGGGGGTTGGAACTAGATGATCTTGGAGGTCCCTTCCAACCCAAACCATTCTCTGATACAATGACAGAGACAGGTATAAACAAAAGCCAATTCAAAGTCACAGTTAAGACAAACTCTCAAAAATTACTCCCACTGAGAAGGCACGCAGAATCGCCTTCTATTGCTGATCAGTGTTTACAGTTTATGACACACAGCAGGTAACTAGTTATTCACTAAAATTTCAGATGTAAGCCAAATGGTACCTGCAGGTGTCTAAATGCCAGGGAGAGAAAGCAGCATGAGCACACTGTCCAGAAGCAGGAAAGCAGAGCCTCACCCATTGCCTGCTTCTGCCATGTCCCCTCAAACCTACCACTGAACACCACTACAGAGACTAATATGGAATAAAACAAATCTGTGTAAAAAATTACTCGTTTGCATTTATTTTTGATCTATAACCCAGTGCATTCTACATTTTAAGATTAAAACCAACACTGTTCTCTGAAAACTGTCCTTATGTATTTCTCATCATCTCCCAGATGTATTTTCTCCTGCTATTCTCTCTTCGTCCTTTATCTGTTTCTATTTGAATTCCTCTCCAGGGCACTAGGTTTCCAAATCACCTTCCAAGCCTCGCTGCACGAAAAAACAAGCAGGGAAAAGAGCATTCAAAAGTGAAGATCTGACCTCTGAGCAAGGAGAAGCTGATTGATCTGACACTTGAAGGTGGCTGGCTAACTGGTTATTGCAGTACCTCCCAGTTAAACAGTTTCATCTCTTCTCACTGGAACGGCACTTTCTCAGACCACTGGATGTTAACACTAAATCTGATGCCTGTTCTCTTACTGCACTGATCAATCTTTGTGACGGACTGGCAAACACGCAGCAAAGGTTGATGTGCAACTAGAGGGCATTACCATGGCAGAAGAGAACTTATAAAACAGACAGTGAAGTCAACTGAAGACAATTCAGGATCTTGCAAGCTAACAGTGGTCAGTTTTCTTGGGCACAAAGCTATGCTGTATCTGAACGGATCTCTACACACTTGGTTTGTGCACAGACTACCAGCACACAGCGCTTCGCAGTTAATGGATCAGGTATTTTCAATCATTTCAAATAAAAGAAGAATAAGTTAGTAAGGGTTCCTCCCCGATGGAGCTGTATTGGGTGCCCCGGTGTTGGCAGTGGGGCAGTGTGTTTCAGACATCTTCATTCATAATAAGATACTGAAGATGGGATTGAATTTTCACGCTACGCAAACGCAAAGAATCCTTTATTTGGTCTCCCAGTGCACTACGAACAAATGCTGACTGGTAGTCACTCCACACCACCTCTTTTCCTATTTTTCAGTCATCCTGTAAATCCTAAAGTCAGAGACCATTTAGGCCTGTCAAAGTGCAGGTGGAACTGATGTCAGACCTTCAGCAGCGAACATACTGTCTGTCACCCTGATCTGGATCGGGATGTAAAACACCTGTACTCTCTGCGATTGAAAAAAAAATAAATAAAGGAAAAGCTTATTTTCTCCTTTGCAGGGACTTCTTAACTGAGGAGCCATGAAAAGTACTGCTTTTTGCAACACGATCTCATGAGAAAAATCAGGTAAGGCAAAGCAGCTTGGCTGTGACAGTCACTGAGAGTGATCTTCATTACCTATTTATAACCTACTCTCTGACTACACCTATGGGAATGAAGCAGCTGACTTCCAAAGGCCAACTCAGGGCTTCATTTTCAATATCCTCTACACCTACTGTCTTTGGAGCACAGCCAACTGATGATAAGACCCTTTTCCACAAACCATGTTTGCTTTCCGAGCAAGTATCCCAGCTGCTGATCGCCTCCCTTACATGTGATAAAACTATTACTGGAAGACTGCAAATCCATTTACTGCTTTACATCTACGCTGGGGTACAGAAGCACTCTGACGCACACTATGGGCCTCCACTCAGACCTGAAAGTGGGCACCTATAGAGTTAACAAGTTGTATGGTGGAGTGACCAGTCCATAGCATAGCATACACTGCTGAGCAGTTCTCGGAGCTTCCCTTTGATAACAAGCACTATCTGGGCAGTTGGTGGAGCCAAAAAAAAAAGAAGGATGATCCAACTCAACATTTTGTGGCACTGAAAGAAATAATCCCAACAGTCCCAACCACCTAGGTTGCTTCCAGCAGGTTCCGATTCAGTTCACAACAGCAGAATAGTGACCAGAAAGGAGAAGACGGGAACAAAAAGGGCAGACAAAGGAGGAGCCTTGTGTGAGCTTAATGAGCTGAATCAGCTTGCTGAAGGATTAGACAAGCATTAAGACTCATAGAAGAAAAGGAAAAGGACTGGATAATGGGAAGCAAGAGAGGGGAGAAGACAGACTGTGGAGAGAAGAGGTATAGAGCCGTTAGATCAACTTAGTCAACTCAGGAAATCATTCTGCAGGTGGTCTGGGCTGTGTCCGTGCCACAGCACGTGTACTGCAGCTATCGAAACCTACAGAACAGGACTGCTAAGCACTGGGGCACCCTCCACCTGTCAGAGCCAAAGCCTGAATGTTACCTGCTTTACCTACAAATCGGTGTAGAACCAGATGGGTACCCTGTGGGGAACAATTTCATAGATTAATAGATTTCTAGGTTGGA